TACTTAACAGCTCACAATTTTTAATCACGCTTGAGCTTTCTCACCCAAGTACATGTTTTTCATTGAAAACAAAAATCTATAGCTTTAATAATCAACAAGGGTGCTTCTTTTTTCCCCCCTGTACCAACTGCTTTGATTAAAATATAAAACGTATTTTACACAAAAGTGAGCTTTTTGCCTGTATGAGTCAGTTCTACACAGGTTAATTTGTAATACCATGTACAATTACAAGATTTTCTATTTAAATACATGCTAGCATACAGTAAATCTTACAACCTATCTCAAATGTAGAGATGTTAATTAGTTTTTCTAAATTATGTCAGAGTAATTTCAGAAGTATGTAAACTAACCTTAACAGCCATTTAATTAGCAAGAACCATCATGCACTGGAAGTCTAGTAGAGCATGAGCCAAGCCTTTTACTATTGCTTCTGTGCTAACTTTGATATGAAAACATACTGCACTGAGAAGGGAAAGTTCAAGAATTGGGGACCAAATTTTTATAGCTCCATTATGCCATTCAAATAGGTCCACTCAGACAAAAAATTACTGCCTCCACCGATCTCCTTGGAAAATTCTTACTGTAAAAACTTTTCCAAGTGTGCTAGGCTAACATATTAGGTCTTAGTTGAATCGTGTAGTTTTATTGGAGATGCCTGGAAAGCAACGAGCTGAGCATCTTCTCTGCAGATTTGAAAGGAGAGAAAATTCTGATGACAGGAAGACAGATGACATCTTCCTCCAGCAGCATGGCTGCACTCGGTGTCCACCATCACTGTTGCTTCCCTGCAGCTTCCAAAACATCTTAAGATATTGTTTAACAGGTAGGCATAGCCCAGAAGATTACATTTAGTCAAAAAGTAATGAGGGGGAGGTGTATATGTATACGCACATATACACACATACTTATATACAAAGCCACACAGATGCATTGGTACATATATGCAAACATAAAACCTTATGTTGAAGTATTCCATGATGAAAAACAGCATGTAGAGATTTCTAATGAAATAGTCTCCTTCCCTAATTTTAAGGGGATGCGATTCCATTCAAAATGCTGCACTACCGTTATTTGTGAGAAAGAAAAAGAGAAAAAAAATATCACACAGTGGTATGTTGTGTTACCCCCCTTATGATTATGCACACACATAGGCGGAGCTCAAATATATCTGTCGCTATGTTTCTTTTCTGGGTAGCTCAGTTTCCTAAACCACCACCAACCCAGAGCCTCTTGCAAAATGCTTACACCCCCGTCTGCTACTGTGGATAGATACAACCTATCTGGTACTTCTCCTCCCAGCGCAGTGCATCAGAGTGTTTGAAGTGGAACGTGAATGGGTGATAGTGCTGGGACACTCGCAGCAGGCGTAGGCTGTTACAGTTCTTCCTTTATCTTGCTTTACAGAAAGCTCAGGGTGGGCACGGTGCCTCTTTCTGTTCACACCTGCTCCCTTTGCAGCTTTGCCTGGGACCAAACTCCAAACATGCGCACAAAATTGCAGCTCTCTGTGTTCAAGGCTCACTATTTTCCCAAATGACAGAACATCTTCCTTTACTCATCACAGGCAACAGGAGTAAAAGCAGCTTCCCACTCCTTTTGCTGTGACTCACCAGAGAGGCACAGGGAGAGAGAACACTCTCCTGTTCAATCAATGAAATCTCTGCAGGTAAAGATACCTCATTAAAGACTCCTGTTTCGGAGAATAAATAGATCACCTATTTTACATGCCAAATAATCAAAAAAATAGATCCTCCAGGTAAATGCTAAACAAAGAAGCAGTCAAGCTGCTGACATTTAAAACCGAGTGCTCTTACAAGGCCTTGAGAAGTAAGCTGGCAGGATCCTTTCAGACTTCAATATCCTGGGCTAACCTGGTACTAGGAGTGAGCTGATCAAAGAGGTACTCAGTATTTTTATGTAAGGCAAGCAAAGAGCTTTTGGTCACACTAACACTGACTAATGCACATTACAAGCAGTGCACAGAACACTTCCAACACAGGCATGACTTGAACTGCTTCCATTTTAAGACTGAATGATTACACAACAATAACCCCTATGAACTACCCCTTCTGCCCTCCTCCTTTCTCCCTGTGTAACACATTCAGCACAAATACAACACACATTGAAAAACCACGCAGCATATGAATTGTAGAGCACTGCATACAGAGGCCAAACAAAACTCCCTGAATTATCTTGCAATGCTTCACTGAATGTTGAAAGGATGAAAGTTAATTATCCATTATCCTTCCCTCAGCAAAATGACAGATGGACTTCCACTAAGATGACATTTAAGGCATTGGCAAGCTTGCATTCCTTTCTCTCAGCCCAGTTCAAGTTCTGATTACTGCATTACTGCGCATGCATATTCCAAAAGATGAGGTTCACTGAGGTTCTCAGAACTGAGTCACATGAATCACTTTCAATTCTGAGTGTATTTCTCTGGGTTGTACGTATGTTATGCATTTTACAACCAGGCAGGAGCTATGATCGGGGATAAGGCTAAACAACTAATCTTCAGTATTTAACAAAATCTTTTGAAAAAACGCCTAAGATCAGTACTGCCATTCTTTGTAGTCCCTAAAAATGTTATTTCCATCAGCAAAACCAAAAAAGTTTTTAACAATTTGCAGTCATGTTGTTCTGGATTTATGCATATTTGTTATGACCATTTTTCTACCTGTTCACATGGATTTCTAAAAAACATCTTGAAAATCTTCTCAAAATTTCTCATTAACATTGGCTGAGAAGGTAGGCTTGTACCAACATGCAGAAATTTGTGAGGCTACAGAGTAGAAACTTCCGATTGGTTTCTGTGAGATCAATAAAGAAATGGAGTAGTATTTAACAAGCCTTAACCAAGTGCTGATAATTGTACTCCTTGAAACACATATGTAAAAAAAAAAAGTCAAATGCAAGCAGAATGAAAGGAAAATAGTCTAAACAAGGGAAGTTTAGCACCTTTCTGCTATCAAATCAAGGTTATTTCAACCATTAAAAGAATCATTCAGTAAAGAATTTAGGCACATGAATTAAATGAATTAAAGCAAACTGCCACAGCTTGACACAGTGGGAAATTAAGCCCATCGATCAGAGTAAGCAGTTCAGGATCTTAAGTTACTGAAAACAGTATTTAGAGTAACTACTTATAACTAGGCATAAGTATTTACCATATTGCAAACTACCAATCAAAATACCAAGGACAACTCTTACAAAGTAGTAACAAGCTACCACTAAGTATAGGACCCAAGAAGAGCTAGGCTTCTGAAATTCTTTGGGGTTTTAATTCCTGTTTGATTACAATGCGAGGCATAGGAGAAGGCAGAATTTCAACACAGATATAAATAGTGAATTTCTAGAGAAGACAGTCTACTCAGCAACCTGCACTGTATCACAGCACAAGAGGTCATTAACTCATTTGATTTTTTGAGCATAACTTCCATGAATAAATCACTTCGCATACATTCCTCCTTAGGTACCTTAAACAAATGCACTAATAACAAATACTATAATAATATACTAAAATAAAATATTTCCATAAATCTTCACAATGTTTTTCCCATACTGTACTGATCTCATTAAGCATGTTCTCTAGTTTCATAAGACACTTCATTCCAGCCCAAACCACACTACGCAATGCCTTTCAAATACTGCTGGCAAAGTCAACAAGATAACTTACATATATATTAAGGAGAAACTGTATCAGTTAAAAACAATTCTCAAAATATGGGAGGAATGAACTCATTGTTTCTGACTTGAATCATGAGTTAATTTCATTTGTAATGCCAACAGTGCTAGCATGTCCCACTGCTAGACCTGTAACAGACCATGGCAGCTTGTCCAAATGGCACATTAACCAAGGTACAGATTGAGAGCACTAGCTCACACAGCCAGTTCAGCACAAACTATGGCCTGACTTCTAAGCACTTAAATTCCAGGACAGCCAGGTGCCTCACAAAGAGACAACGCCACAGCCTAGGAACACGTTAGGCATACAAACAACTGCAATTACCAAAGATAGGGAACATATCTCCAATCCCACTTTGGAACTCCCACTTTTAACCTTCAGCCTTGCTGTAGGAGGGGACAGCTCAGCCCACTATACCCTCTCTGGGCCAGAGCACCCTATGAGGAGATAACCACCCACCTATGAGCCCTGTAAGGCTGCAGGCAATGCATCACAACCTCACACCAGGCACCAGAGTTAACTCATCAAAAACTGATTCTTTCAAAAGAAGTACATCCACAGTACTCAAGCTTTCCATAAAAACAAAAAACAAGCCTAGGAACTCTTTGCAATCTGGTGCTCAGGCCTTTTTACTGAAGAATACAAACCAAAGTACATTTTTAGACCCTATCTACAGGCTTCGAGGATCTTTTCTGCACTTTTTGTTTTAGAGCCCCCTTTCAATTATGCCTTGAAAAAATAGAAGCACTCAATGCATTTATCACTGAAGGCATGTAAAAATGACCTTGCAATGCATGACACCTTGCTCCAAACACTGATTTCATTAAGAGATGAGCTAACATGCAAAGTACGGCGACGGGTTGAAAACACAGATGCAACATCAATTTAAAAATAAAAAAAGCCATGAAAGTCATTAACACAAAATGAGATAAACAAACTAAGATGATGTAACCATTTAAGAATACAGCACTTCGTAATAAAAAGTGCACCACAGATTTTGCTTTTTAATGAGTCATTGTGTCTTCAAAGGCAGACGATTGTTCAGAACCAAAGATAAGCAGACACTGACAGTTATTGGAAGAATATTTTGTATACATGACAATACATATTCATGATGAAATCTAATTAAATGTGTAAAATTCTTTCTCCAACAGATAAAGATATGAAACATTGCTTCCATTTAAATCAGAAGAATCTTCATCAGCAAATAAAAACCAGAATTGCTGTTTCTTCTTTAGCTGTCATAAATAAAAACAAACAGCTTACGCAACATTGCCAGAATTTTTACTGTAGTTATCAAAACATAACAACTTACAGAGGACAGCCACAGCTCCAGATTCGAACATGAGACATTCCTCTCTGTTTCTGGCTTCCACTATCACGCTGAACGGGAGTGGATCCAGCTTGTGATAGACACGATATCCTTTACTGAAAGCCATTTTGCCTTTATCGGTGGCAGTCCTGTCCAACACAAGATGATGTTAGTGAGAGCTTCCTGTGCTTCCAGATACCTTCTGCTGAACAGGTCTGACTTCCATTCTTTCCTAAGAAAGGGATCTAACAACAAAAAGAAAAAAAGGGAAAGAAAAAAAGAGACGCTCACTCTTTCTACCCTGTGAGATTTATTTTACCTTATGTTTCAAAGCAAATATATCTAAAGACAGGTGAAAGACAACATGCCAACACTGCAAAAACATAATCGCCCAGAGCAGCATAAAGGATTTATTTAAGATCTCCTCCAGAACAACCAGAATTTCTTGCGCAATACCTAAACCAGATTTCTTCTCAGTGAAACTGAAGATGAGGTTCTCCTTTAGTCGCCACAAACGCATAAGAACGGCAGCGACCTTCTGCTGAACACAGAAGGCCAGGAGCTTTAGTTTTACGATGCCTTTTGCTCATCCTGACCTTCTACAAGAGGACAGTATATTCCAAACAGTAAAGCTGCTAAGAGGCTTTGGAAGACCATATAGAAACGATAACCTACCGCTTAATTTGGCTTTATAAATGAAAGCAGGGCTCTGTCTGGACTTAAGCCCTCCCTCGCAGCAGCTGACGATTAGAAAATCGCAGCGCTGCACGAGACAGACGGCTGACAAGCCGTAAAGGTAACACCTTCCTCCGAGGCGACGAAAAAAGCAATAACAAACCGTACACCACCGGCAACCCACCCAAACGTTAGCGACTGAAACTGAAGAAACGCACCGCGCGGAGAGGAGCTGCTGGAAAGCCGCGAGCAGGCTCCCAACCCTTCTCCCAGCTCCACGTCGGTAACCTCAGCGCCGACAACGGCACCGACCTTCTGCCCTCTCCTACGAGACAGCCCGGTCCCAGCCGCCCCGCTCCCTTCCCAAGAAGCCGCACCGGGCGAGCAGCCCCCGCCCCTCCACCTGCCCGGCGCCCGCGGCGCTAACAGAGCCTCCATCTTGTCTGGCGCCCGCGGCGCCTCCGCGCGCTCGACACCCCCGACAGCGACAGCCGAGCAGACTCCTCCGCGTACCGACAGCCGCCCGCGGTGCCGCCGACCCGCCCCGCCGACCGACCCCGCGCTCCCTCACCGGCCGCACCAGCTGCCGCCCGCTCCGCTCCCTGCCGCGGGAGCCGGCGGCAACCTCACTTCCGCTCCGGCCCCGCCGTCCCTTCCGCATTGCGCCTCCCGCCACCGGAAGTCAGGGAAAGGCGTGAGGCGGCGGCGACGACGCGGGGGCGGCCGTTACGCTGCCACCGCCGTAGGGGCGATGAGGGGGGCTTGCCTGTCAGGGCGCGTGCGGGGCCGTCGGGCGGGACCCGAGCCCTTAAGGCAAATAGTACCTCCCTCCCCTCACGCCATGAAGTTCTCCCTTCGCTTTCCCTTAGCATTCTTTTCTTTGAAAGACGATCGGTTCCACTGCCGGCTCCTTATTCATTACAGCAGGCGGGAATGCCGTAGGGACGGGCTCCTGAACGGCGGCGCTCTCGGGAAGATGTGCACGAAAAGTGCGGTGGGGGCATGGCACGTGTCGGTGTACACTGAGACACGGCTCGAGCCGAGCCTGCTGCTTCCTGACAGGCTTCAAAAGTTTCGCCTCCAGACCTTAAACATCACTTTGGAAATTTCCATCCAGCATGTAAGTGGAGGAGGAGTGCTGCCTCACAGGAGCTCTGCTGAGCTGTGCTGAGTTCTATTACAAGCTGCAGAGGAGACCACAGAACAGGTTCGGGAGCTTCGTCATATATTAAGAGAAGTGGAATTCATAAAGTCCCGTTTAACTGATTTAATTTCCTCATGGGACAAGGTTACCCAGCTAGCTGACCATGGGAAGCCAGAAGATGTAATATTTTAGCCTTCTGCAAAGCCCAGTACACTCCTGGACAAAATGTCCAGCGTACGGCTAGGCAAAAATATCATGTGATGGGTGAACACCTAGCTGATGGGCCAGGCTCAAAGGGTTATAATGAGTGGGGTTCTGTCAGAATAATGGCCAGTCACTGGTGGGATTTCACAGGCTTCCATTTTATGGCTGCTTCAGTATTTTAATAAACAACTTGGGTGCGTGTAGAAATTGAAGGTATACTGGTTAAGTTTTTGGACAAGGCTGAACAGGGAGGAGATGTTCACTCTCTTAGGGGTAGAGAGGCCTTACAGAGAGACCTTGACAAATGGGAGGGCTGGGCAGTCAGCGACTGCATGAACATGAGCAAGTGCCAGAGGTACCTGGCAAAGTATCACTTAAATCTTAACACAGAAAATAAGACAATACTCAAGAGCTTTGTTGAAATTTAGGCTATGAAAATATGGGTTTACATATGTATGAACAATATCACACTGAGTCTTGGAGATACATCTATGCTATGAAAACATTTAAATATGCACATAAAGCACAAAAGTGAAGTCAATGGGACAGTCCACACATGAAAAAAAAAACAACTTAAGTCATCCTTTGGGGCAGGATTTAAATGGTAGGCTCTTGGATTATTAAATGTGTTTATCTCTGTTTTATTTCCATTCATCCATTTCTGAATATGTATAGCAAGATTTTTAACTACATACAAAAATTAAGTGCTCTTGAACAAGAAATAATATTTCATTCCGCAGATAAATCCAACCAATAATTGCATGGCAAGGCTATCAAAAATTTAGTTTGGAGTATGACATGCAAGGGAAAAACACTTATCTCTGATCCATTCTATTGAGTTTCCCAGAAAACCTCAACTGTCCTTCTTGCAGCAATCATTTCCGAAGCCTCCTCACAATTCCCTTTTCTGAACACACCAGACTTTTGCAGGAACGTTTAATTTTCACTGAGGCAACTAACAAATTTGGGGGATTGCTTTTTAGCTCTGTTACTCATAAAAGGAGAGTGCAGCCAGCTGAAACATAGCTCATGAAGCCACTAAACCAAAGCACTATACCACATAAAAACTGCAGGTGCACATCCTCTCTTCCCTATATCTATATATGTGTATGCATATTTAGTGTTCCTTTTAATATATGTTTTTCGTAGAATAACTTAGAACTAAAAGCAGAACAACAGATAGCAAACTTTTGCAGAAAGTGAGAGGCAACTGAAAAGAAGAGAAAGAGGAACCCACACGGCTCCATATACATGTACAAATTTTCTTCAAACTTTTCCGTTTTAAATACTGGCTTTTCAATTTGTTGGCCATAATAGCAAAGGACAAGGTTTTTTATCTTTGCTAGTGATTACTTTTAGGGAAAAGGTAATTATGTAATACCTACAATCCTACAAAAATAATTGTATCATAAAGTAGTAATGCAATAAAATAACTGTAACCATCCTGTAACATTATCTTGTGCATCACAATTCAGAATGTTCAGAATGCCCCCAAATTTTACATGCAATGTTATACATCTTTTCAGTTTCTAGACAATGCTAACTACTGAAGAGGTTACTAGATCTCAAAAAACCCTGTAGAGTTTTGAGTAGAACTAAGATTGTCATGTCACATGGGATTTTATCATCTTCCATGTCTGAACATATTATGTGTACTGATTTTGATGGCGAATGCTAAGATAACACAGCCAACCATGGAAGAAGTAATTTCAAAGCAGGTATGCTGAACTGCTTAATTTTAAAGCAGTCCACTCAACCAAGCAGATGTATAACATTTTTGAAGACCATTTCATGAAATGCAACTGCTTTGTTACGAGCATTTAATTTGGGTGAATGCATGAGAGAAATGGCTGAAGAAGGGCAGAGATGGAAGTGGTTATTTTGTTTATAAATGAAATTGCATATCAGTATTTACATAAAGTCTTTAAGTACCAATGCAATTCTAGCCATTCATACATGGAAAGGTTGCCCCAAATACATTACTCATCACTTATAAGAATTCCTTGCAAATTTCTGTGCACTGCTCTCCAAATATGACATATAAGGGTGAAAAGGAGAAATTCCTGCAATGTGCATCAGCTTAAACATCACAGTCACACAGCAGCAATGTATGAGAAGATGGGCTAAGTGCAGTATGACTGCTGGTCTTCTAAGCAATCAATTAAGAAAATGACTACAACCTACCTTGAAAAAAAAAAGAAAGAAGATTTTCTGTAGCTGTAATTTATAACAAGATTAGAAGGAAGATATTTTCTTCACCTCTTCCTTATTCTATCATTATCCGAACTGGAGCAAAATGCCTCCATTTTTAACGACAGCATTTAAAGCAGTCTCAAGGTTTGGAGCCCCGTTAGTAGTGCACACCTAGTGAAACTGCACTTATACACCTTCAAAACTTAAATGCAGCTTTGTATATGCTATATTAGAAAAAAAGCAAAAGTTTGAGATGACAAAAATAGTTAGCATGCGTATTTTTTCCTTTACAACTTAAAGGAATAAAACTTAACAAGTTGCACTGCAACAGCTCCTTGACAGACAAGTTTATTGAAACAATTTTTAAAAGCAGATATTCTGAATGTACTCCATCAATCTCAGCAGTTCAGAAAAACAATTGTTCAGTGTCCAAATGAAGTGTGCATGTTACAAATTGTACATTTTTAATATACTCATTTATACCACGACGTGAGCTTAAAATACAGTTTTACTTTATGTTATTCAGGATGTCAATTTATTGCTATAATTCCCCCCAAAATGTAGGGTTCACCAGTAAAACAGCTCTTAATCCAAGGCTATTACAGCTGTTAACGTGCCTCAGACCCCAAGATCAAATCATTAGCATTCCAACATGGATCACCCTGTTTTAAAGGATTTTCCTTCTGATTTCCAAAAAATTAAATGCTTTGTTTTCCAAGACTGTATTCTCAGCTGCTATTTAGCAGGAAATGAAACATTTGAATATTTACTACAGTATAAACACTTGAAATTCTAGGATATAAAGATTTCTCCACCTTCACTTTGCTTTGTATCTTTAGCCATACCAATCAGAAGAAACAGATTCCCAATGTGAAGTTATGAAGCGGAATACAAACAGTGAACTTAGCCACCAAGGGCCCCAAGTTCACAGGTGAACTATTTTTTCCTTGAAAATGAAAGGTGCTTGGGGATTGGGAAATACTGTAAATTTGCACAATAATCACAAATTTGGATTGTCTGCCCAAATTAAGAAAATAGTTGAACACTGATTTGTGTCTTCTCATCTCTTGTTTCTAAGAACAGTCTTAAGAGTTCCAGTCTGAGTGCAGCACAGCTGCTTTTTAAAGGTTTGGTTGCATTTGGAAACGTCTCTACTATTTAGGCCAAATCATTTTTACAGATTTAATCTTTTGACCAATAATATGATCATTTTATTTTCAAAACAAGTAATTTTTAGAAAAAGGAAAAGCTTTTTCAACAGTAAAAGATCTCCATATCCAGTGTGAAAGTAACACGGTGGTATAAATATATGCACGCATTGCATTACACTTAATATATTACACACATTCCAGTTAGCCATGGAACAATTAAACAAAGGAGTAGATGACAACTAATTGTGGGTACAAAGTGTTTTTTGTAAACAAGATTTTGAGAAACTTTGAGGAAAGCCTGATTTCTGGGAGGATGACTACCTTGGAATTTCATTTTTGCCTCCAAAGAAAGTCAACTTTTTCATTTATTTTAAAGGATGCTGTATATAAGAATGCACTTTGTATTAAAACAAAGATCAATACTTTACAGTTTAAGAAACTTTACATATGTACATAAATTACACATCAGGAATGGTTTTAAAGCTCATAACGAGATGTCAGAAAAGTCTATTTTCCTTCTATTAAAATTTTTAACTCTTTTACATTGTGATCATTTGCAACTGTCACAGCATGATCCAGTGCTCGTATACTTGCTAGAAGCTTTATGATCTGCTTTATTTGCTCCCTAAAAAAAAAAAAAATAATAAAAAGAACAATCATGTAGAAGTAGTAACAGAAAAGCACATTATGACAGTACAGCAAAACAGTTTCAGGTAACTTTGCATCATCTCCTGTTTGCTTATCTATAAATTAAGTTGGTCATCGGCTTAGCAATGAAATTGAAAAGAGGAAATAGGAATTAGTCATTCAATACTAGATGCAGTATAAACTAAAAGAAGTCCTGGATTATTTATGGTACTGTGTGCAGTGAGTCACAGGTCTCTTGATAAATGATGTTTGAGCCAAAAAAAAAAAAAAACAGCCAAAAAAAAACCTAACAAACAACAAACAGCAAATATGTTTGTTTTAACACATGCCTTACAAAGGTATGAAGCTTACCACCAGCAAATTGCATTTCAGATCCAGCTCAGTCCTGGGAACAATGTACTACCCCAATGGTCAAGAACAATTTTAGTGTCTTGCAAGGAATGTAGACATGAATTTTCACCAAGTCCCATAAAAAATACTTGAGGTTCAAAATTCATCTTAAAAGTGAAAAAGCTGGTTTGTGAAAAGGCACTCAATTGGAAAACTAATATCAAGAGGATAAAAAACAGGCTTCCTTTTCTTGAGAAATTAATGCATTTTTCTTTCATATAACTACACTAGGATTTATAGGAACAGAAATGTCGTTCTTTCATTAAGCAAAATAATATTTCTGCTGCAGACTTATTTTATGTGCTTAATGGGGACAAAATAACTGATACAGAAAAAAAGACCCCTAAACAAGATTTGTCTGCTATACGACAAGGGAAATTCCTGTCTCTGTATTTCAGTGCTATGCATAAGGATCTAATTCCACTGAGAGCCTCAATAATTGAAGAGTAACTCAACAATGGCTCAGGCAAGTACAGGTATCAAGAGTGACTAATGCAGGTAGCATGGGATCCAAGTTCCAGTTTAAGTAGGTTTTCTGAAACAACAAAACTACTGACCTTGCAACCTCTCCCTGTGCAACAGCACAATAATAAACATTCTTCCAATATGCTTATGTTCACGTGTATCAGTGTAACAGCGTGGATATAAATTTCACCACTGATTAGAACAACCCACCACAAAGCATTTCAGGTTACTTGGCTAGCAGTAACATTCATGCACACACCTAACCCAAGCTTTCATTATGCTGGTTATCAGATACAAGTAAAATTACTCTGATCAAGGAGAAAACAGGTTCATCGAGTTGGTTGCATAAGCAAAGACAGAATTTTTGCACCATATACAAAAGCACAATCTGTAATTCAGGAGCCTTTATGTAGGAATTTGCAACAGGTTTACAAGGTGAAGCAGCCCAGAACAAGTAACTACAAAATGTGCCACAATCAAGGATGTTAAGGAGTACTGCAAAATGCCATGAATGCTCAATGAATTACAGCAGCTGCCGTTTTCAAATACCTTTAAAAATTCACCCCATCTACCATACCACAAAAAAATTTTAAGTTTGAATTCAACAACCTTCCAAAAGACTTGCAGCAGAATGGAGATATTTACTGGTGTTTGTATACAATTAACGAAGCACAAGTATTGCAACTGAATAATTCAAACTAAGTTACCTTGCATTTCTTTTCTCTACATCAGAGCAACCAATGCTGTTTCTGTAAATTGTATCAGCCAGATGAACAAGGTATCTACAGAAGTTTTCTAGCTGTGAAATAGTCTTGTCTCCTTTTAAATTAGCAAACCACTGTTTAGGAAAGCAAGCAATTACCTAGACAAAACATGAAAAAAAGTTAAAAAAAACAAGTATCAAAATGTTAGAAGTTTAATGACACAATCTGTTAAGTCACCAGGTAAGACAGTGTTTATGAGGCTCCAATGAATAAAACAGGAGTTCTCTCCCCCCCAAATCAACTCCAAAATTTAAGCAGTAAAAATGAATGTCTGCAAGTACAAGCCAGAGAAGGTTCTCTCTTTGGTTCATCAACGTTATAATATTAAGATATCAAAACCAAGATTTCAGAGGTAATCTCAAGTTTTAAATACATTTTAAGTATTTTGTTTGCTATTACTCACGCTTTGCGCCTTCTTAATGCTGTCATCTCCATACTCAGAGTTTTGAAAAGCCATAAGAATGTATCTGTTTAGTAACCCATCTATTGACAGCTCTTGGAGAGTTTTGTTTGAAAGGATTCCATACCACTGGAGAAAGTTTCCTAATAACTGAAAAAAACAACACAGCAAAAATAATTATTTACATTGTCATGAATCAAGTATCTAGAGACTCTTCAAGTGCAGCAGTATAGCTTAAGTAAAGCAAGGAAAATATGCCTTCTGATAGTTCCAAAAGTATTTAGAATTCATAAAGTAACAGCTTAGAGTGCTATAAACTCTTGTGCAATAACCATTATCTCACTGTTGCTTATGTTTTGCCCAAGGAATTGTTGAAAAAAACCCTAAAATTTCAAGCCATTTTGATCTCAAAATATGATGCCAATATCAAGTCAAGTGAGACCTAGCATATGCCAACTCAGGGGAAAATTCACAGTCTCTCATCAGTAAGATTCCCAGGCATGCTGTCAGTATACCCCTATTTTCAAGGCACACTGAAACAAAAGGCACAGAAACTGTCTGAAGGGAAGTGCTGGCTAAGCCAACAGTACAGCTGTTATTCTCCACTGGTATACAGCCTGTGGAAAACTGCTGCCAGCCTTGTAGAAGGGAACACAGCCAGCAGTTTACTGTTAAAGCAGATCATCAGAAAATAGTAATAATGGGCTTGCTTCCCAGCTTCTATTTCTGATCTTCTGCAATGCTATCTGTACCTGCCTTGCAGTGATAACTGCATGCACAGTTCTAAACGGCCCATGCTCCAAGAAATATTTTCAGAAGTGGGCAGTTTCATTCGTAAGAGACAGAAGCCATAAGAGAGTTACCAGCACCACTCTTAACAACAACATTCTCATAAATAAGCTTTATGCCCTTTTTGCTCTAGACAGCATTTAAGAAGTTGACTTTTGCTTCAAAGTGAAAGAACTCAGCGTGGAATGTGTAAAATAAATTATGTGATTGCAAACCCATTCAGTATAAGGTCTCCCTCACTTCTAAATAGAAAAAAAAAAACAGATAAAAGTTCTGTTTGCATGACTATGGAATTTAGCAGTTCAATCAATGTCTCTCAATACTTTCCTACTTAGCTAAGTTAACATTTCCAATAGGAGGATAAAAATTACAACAGTTACAGCTTCTTATAGACCTCTGACAACTCTATAAAGCACCTGCCACACACACTGACATTTCTTTCACTCTTCATCATTTCAAGTAAACTAAGATTAGAACTGCTGCATATTTTACAAATAGCAACATGTTTTCCAGAGGGATACAGAAAACTGTCCATTTATCTAAGTTATTTTCATGAAAATTTCTGTCCTCTAATTACTACCAAATTAAAAACTTTTTTTTCTGACAAATACAATGACATTAAAAAGCCTTAGTCATTGAATATGCCAAATAAACCCGCAGTGTAGAAATAAAAACGATGCCCTTTCACGTGGAAATCTTTTGAAGAGGGCACAGCATGTTATCGAAGGCTAAGAATCCTACTTCAGAATTCTTTCAATTAGAGAAAAGGCAATTTTCATCTACCATTTTCCACAGATATGAAGGGGATTTTATTGCTGTGCTGACTGTGCCAGAAATTTACCAGATGCATTTAGTGACTTACCTTAACAGACGACCAAAACTGACGTTGGAAAAACAAATATGGACCAGAGTTCTTGTTTTCTAAGACACTGGAAAGTAAGAGAATTTCTTTAATGAGCAAACACGATCGTCTGAA